GCCCATCAGGGAGGTTGGGGGCTTGGGGTGTGGCAGCCACAATCAGCCCTCTGTGTCCTCAGCTTGGTGTAGAGAACACAGCAGGGCAGTGACTACCCCCCCTTCCCCCTGGGGCACGGCTCACTGCTCCTGGTCTGAAGTCTACACCACCCCACCACCCCACACACACACGCACAACCAGGCTCCCAGTCACCATGCCGGGCTGGAAGACCATCAGTGCTGGCTGCTCAGACCAGGGCCAACTCAGAGCTGCCGGCGGCGGCAGGGCCCTGCACATAGTGGCACACATTGTCACCGTGCATAGGGCAGGCTGTCCCGTGGACACCAGCCAGAGGGTCTGGGGAGATCGCAGGAGGGTGACCAGCTGTGCATGGAATAACAGCCTCAGACCTGGGTGGGGCCAGGCTCAGCTGCCCCTCCAGTGTCTGAGGACAGAGTGCCCTGTGGAAGCACAGTCGGAGAGCAGCATGGCTGTTTCTACAACAGCCCTCAGCATCACCCACCCCCCTCCCTGCGGGGGCTTTCCCCTCGCTCAGGTCAGGCCACCTCAGACCCATGGGCATCTGGGCTCCAACCCCAGGAGCTGGGGGCTTATGGGGGCACAAGTAAAGGCAATGCGCGAGCAATTCCTACCCAGACTTGAGATGCCCCCTCCTGCTCTGCCGGGCAGCCGGGCCAGGGCCACAGCTGACACTGGCCACCACTGACAAGGAGTCACTTCCTTTTTCTGCCAGAGAGCTCCCCGAAAGCCAGGAGAGGGACCCCAGGTCTCCTCCCACGGAGCCCATGTGTGGGTCTGAACCACCAGCCTGTCGGGTGACAGCCGTGGGCTATGGTTACACACGTCTGTCTCTCTCTCTCTCTCTCTCTCTCTCTCTCTCTCACTCACACTCACTCTCTCACACACACACACACACACACAAAGACACACGTGCACACTCACACGAGCTTTCCTTTTTGCCCCAAGAGCCTTACGAGGACAAAGTCGCTGCTGGAGAGGGCTGCACAGAGGTGTTTAGAAACTAGCGCACCCCCACCCCAGGGGGACAAAAGCGGCCAGTGTAAGATATGAAAATAACAATGATTTATAAATGATCAAAGGTTCACCAGGGAGAGGAGAGAGGAAAAAAACGAGGAGCTGATACCAAGGACTCATGTAAAGAGAAAATGTTTTGAAAATGATGATGGCAACATATGTACAAATGTGCTTGACACGATGGATGGGTGGATTGTGATAAGAGCTGTAGGAGCCCCCAATAAAGTGATTTAAAAAAGGAAACAAAAAACTAGCCCAGGGCAGCTTGACACCAGAGCCTGCCCTGTCAGCCCTCCCACCTGCCTGCAGGCTCCACTTCCCACCTCAAGCTAAGAAACCTCACTGCTTCTAGTTCTCTCTCATGCACCCTGCCCTGGTGCCTTCAGCCCTCCTCTGGAGGCCTGCACCACACAGACGCAGCTCAAACACCAGGTTCCCGAAGGGAAAAATCCCTGGCCCCCTCTGCTCTGGGCCCCCCTTCAGGCAGAGCCATCGGGAGGTGCCAGTGCACCCTGGGCTCAGATGAAGAACTTGCCTATGGGCCTGGAGGGTGGACGGGCCTCCATGTTGCCCACCCCACCCCAGCCCCAGTGGTCTGCCCTGCCCACTCCCCCCATGACCCCTCTCTGCTGGCAGGACCAGTCAG